CTCCATTAATAACATTATTGTGTTTCCCTGTTTCCTGTTCTCACATTCTCTAATTCAGGTCTGGGGGCCCGTGAGTTGAAAACCTGGCATGCAAAAACCAAACTTCAGGTCAGGCAGGGGCCTGCTCAGGCTTCTTCAGAAGAATTTCCTGATAGCAGAGATGTATGTTTTGGGGAATCCAAATAAGATTTCCACCCATAATCCTAGCCCGAACCCAGCTCCTTTTTCAGACCCACGGGTCATCCATGGACAGGCTGGCATGCAAAAACTGAGCTTCAGGTCCGGCAGAGCCCTACTCAGACTTATTCAGAAATGTCCCCTGATTGCAGAGACATGTGGTCTGGGGTGACCCCCGAAAGGATTTTGCCCCATAATCCCAGCCTAATCTCAGCTCTTTATTCAGGGCTATGTACTTAATACATGATATTATTTTACATTTTAATTAATAAATATATATTTTTCGTGAACACTTAACTCTTTAGCTTGTATAATTCATTACTAACAACCATTAACTCTGGAAAGACTAGCTTTGAAAAAGGAAACCAGGAACCAGGAATAAGGAACTGGGAATATGGAACTGGGAATAAGGCACCAACTTCAGCCTCATCTCTGCCCCACTGCTCCATGATTTTAGTTGCTATCCCTACGTGGCACACCTCCTCTGTCTCCACACACTGGGGCTTGACAGGAGCAGGCTTCTATGGACTCCAGCAGGCTGCAGGCTAGCAAGCTCTCACACAGGCACCTGCAGGCATGCACAGGTCAGCTCCTTCCTTTTCCCCCTCCTCTCTTCCTCCCAGCTTCTAGAAATAGCAAGATTTCTCAGGAACGGGATCCTTCCAGAGCCATCCAGAGGACAGAGTGCCAATTACCTACCAAAACAAAACCTATCCAAAGACACCTTTTCAACATACAATACAACCACATAATCATCACAGCAGCAAACAAACTGCTCCCCTCTATTCCCCAGCAGGGGTGTGCGAAGCGGGCCCTCTTTGATTTGGATTCAGATTCAGCCCAAATCACGGACAGTGATTTGATTCATTGATTCGGATCACAGTCCCTGATTGGCTTTGGCCAAATCCGAATCTGAAGATTCGATGTTGATTTGGAGAATCAGCGATTCGGACATAGACACGGCTTTTAAAGTATTTTCTACATACCTCGAGGTACTAGCGTAGCTTGTGAATGCTGTGATGCTGGGGAGGATAAAGCGTCCCGCCGGAGTGAGGCTGGGGGGGGAGGGGCGGGGCTTCCACGTGTCCAGCGGTGAACCCAGAAGTGGACTGAGGGCCCCCCTGCACCCTCCCAGCTTGGTGATTGGTTGTGGGAGGACCCCGGGTGCCCCCCCATACACAGGAGGCACTAATTGCTGAGCCGGAGGGACATGGGGGAGCCCCCTGCGTGCTCTCTGGTAGACCTGGAAGTGGGCCGGAAGTGCTTCTGGTCCACTTCTGGGTCTGCTGCTGAGCATGCTGGAGAGCCCTCCATGCTTCTTTGGGACACTCCATGTACCCCAGCATCGCAGCATTCATGAGCCACCTCCTACCTAGAGGTACGTAGAAAAAACATTTAAATCTATGTCTATGTCTGAATCACCGAATCTTTCCAAATCGATTTGGAGGGTAGGCCTCTCTACCCAGCACTTACTACTAAGCTGGTACAGGTGGCAGAGCCCCTGGATGCAAGCCCTGGGTGAGATTCCCTTCCCCAGTGACTGAGCTAAGTGGTAGTTTCCCAGGTTGGTTTGCTGCTGACTATGACTGTGATCAATATTAAACTACAGTTAAAGGTTAATAGTTAAGGTTTTACTTAGGCTGTACCATTGCTCCACTATTCCCTTTTAATAAACCTGTTTTAATTTAACATTTGCTTATGAGTGGGCAGGTTTATTCACATTAAAACACCAAGTTCAAAGTTACTTTACCGAGTTTTTGGTTGGGGACTTGAGGTAAATTTGAAAAGTTAATGTAAAACCCCTATACAGTGGAGTCACATCTTATGTGCATTTAACTTGCGTGAATTCAACTATACGCGGGGTGGGAGTGGGGGCAGGGCTTGGGTTTGCACGTGGCGCTGCCGCTTACCTGGAGGCCCATTATGGTGGTGATGGCCACTGCCTCCTAAACCTCCCGCTGTTGCCATGGTGCCGTACCCAGAGCTGTGTGGCTGGCCTCCGGGCAGCAGTGGCAGCGTGGTGGCAGCCGGGCGGCACGCAGCCATCCTCACCACCACACCGTGCTGTGCTGCTGCCACCAGCTGCACAGCTCTAAGCATGGCGCCGCATGCAAACTCAAGCCCCACCCCCCCTCCCACCCCGTGTATAGTCACCAATTTTCACCTTACGCAATTTTCACCTTATGCGCTGACTTCAAAACCTAACCCCCGCATAAGATGCGACTCCACTGTATTTGTATGCAACCATTCGTAATGCCATCCAGCACTTGGCAGAACAGCAGCATACAGGCCTTATAGGGTGGGTGTCAAGTGGCAAGCTGGCTCTCAAAATCCAAGCTTCAGATCAAGCAGGGATCTACCCAGGCTTCTTCAGAAGAGTCCCCTGGTGGAGGAGATGTGTTTTGGGGTGACCCATAAAAGATTTCCACCCATAATCCCAGCCCAAACCTAGCTCCTTATTCAGGACTGGGGGCCTGTCAGTAGGCAACCTGGCACACAAAAACCAAGCTTTGGGTGGGGCCTACCCAGGCTTCTTTGGGAGAGTCCCACGATAGCAGAGAGATGTGGTGTGGGGTGACCCAAAAAAGATTCCCACCTGTAATCCCAGCTCAAACCCAGCTCTTTATTTGGGGCTAAGCTTTTAGTACAGAGACCAGGGGTCCTGCCTGTTATGCAGAAGCTGAACTTTGGTTCAGACAGGGGCCTTTCCAGGCTTCTTCAGGAGAGTCTTCTGATGGCAGAGATTTGTGGTCTTGGGTGACCCAAAAGGGATTTTCACTTGTAATCCCAGCCCAAACCCAGCTCCTTATTCAGGCCTGAGGGGCTATCAGTACGAAGCCTAGCACACAGTAAACGAGCTTCAGGTCAGGCAGGCTTCTGCTCAGGCTTTTTCAGGAGAGCCTCCTGATTATGAAGACGTGTGTCTTGGGGTGACCCAAAAAGGATTTGCCCCATAATCCCAGCCTAATCTCAGGTCTTTTTTCAGGGATATGTACTTGATACTATTTTACATTTTAATTAGTAAATATATGTTTTTAATGAAATCTTGTCTTATTCATTACTAACAACCATTATTTGTGTAATGATTAGCTTTTAAAAAGGAACCAGGAATAAGAAATTGGCAATAAGGAATCAACTTCAGCCTCATAGGGCAAAAGCAACCTGCTGATGTAAGCGGAGAAGCCAAAACCTCTGAGGGCAAGGAGGAGTTTGCTGCAGAGACAGTGATGATTCCTGCCTGCTGCTGAAAACAGATGTGGACTGTAAAGTAAGACCTAGCCATGGGTAAGTGTGAAAGGTGCTAGAAGATAGTATGTTTTAAACCTTTATGTTATATTCCATCTTCCCTCATTCTGCTGAGTGTTTTCTCTAATTATTAAAGTTGGGGGCGGGGGGTTACCCCTAAATTTAGCTGTCCTGTAACTGAATATCTCACCATATGGGGAGTTTGTACCCTCAGGGCCTTGGCTGACTCAGGGTCCCGTCACAGCTGCCATAATAGAAGAGGGGACATGTAAAGTGTACATGCTCCACATGTTCTTATATGTTCTTAAGACTTTAATGAAGACAGTCCACAGTACAGTGTAAATCCACTACTCTAATTCACATCTCACACCAGTTCTGTTTATTATGTTTGAAGTGCTAAATGAGAATATGGCTCCCTAAATTGAAAGCAACAATCAAACAGTTACCGTTTCAATTATTTTCACGGTATTAAGGCTTCCTAAGGAAAGAAAGTAAAGCTTTCTTGTAAATCAAGTACTGCTGACATCAGTGCTATTGTAATTACATTTCTGGAATTCCTCTGTAAGATGTAGAAATTGTACTTGGCTCTCTTTGAACATTAAAATAAAAAAGTAATATATTTAAGTTCCTCAGTTGCCTGGAGTTATACCCCCATGCATGTTCTGAATGGCTGAAGTCCTAACAGGTTGAATAGTTTGGCATCTAGCTCACGTCTAAGTTCTGTCAGCCTCCAGAAGCAAGGTACTCCTCTGCCTGAGGCCCTGACGGGCTAGTCCAGCAAACATGCTCTGAGAACAACTAATGCAAGCCTACAGGATGTAGCTCTCGTCAAGTACAGTTACAGCTGCTGCTTTCTTTAGAAGATGGCCTGGGGCTGGTACCCACCATGCCCTGTGGTTAGAGCACTCACCCAGTAAATGGAAGAAGACCTGAATTCAATTCTCTCCTAGCCTGAGGGCGATTCAAATCCACATCTCCCACTACCCAGAAAGTGTTCCTAACCATAGGTTATTTTGTGCAGGGGCACTTCTGGCATCCCCTGTTGAAGCTTCAACTGTGCAGAAAAGAATTCAAGATTTACTAGCTCAAGGAGATAAAGCAAGTAGGAGCATGATTCTGTAGCCCAAGGATAAAAGGGGCAGTCCTGGCTTCCAGTGCTTGCTTCCGGGACAGGATAAAACATCTAAGGAGTCCTGGGAGCCAGAGCAGGAACCAAGCACTAAGTGTCCTAGGTACAGGACCGGAAAGTCAAGCTCCTCTGCCAAGCGCTCTAATTACTAGGATAGAGGAGGTGGCACCACTAGCAGCAGCCATGTTGCCAAAGGATCATTAATAAATTAATAAATACTGGGAGACTGAGGGGGCAGAGCTATTATTTTCTATGGTGAAGCTGTGAATTTTGATCAGCCATTTGGGAATACTGGATGTTATGATGCAACTGAATACAACTACATGTTATGATGCAATTAAACAGCACAAACATAATAAGGCTCATTATGAGCTCACTGCTCTACTACACTCCAAACCTCACTGTATCCTCAGAACCTTCTTGTATTTCAAAGCACTTGAGCGATACCAGCATGTACCGCTTCATAAATCCTCTTTTCAAGCATATCATTCACCGGATTTACTTTGATGCTGCTACAAAGAAGCAGTGCCTTCAGTATTTAAGAGCCCTGAGGACTCTGCAATTTAATGGTTTCAATACTATCTTTTTAGGAGAAACTGATATTTCAGAAAGTCTCATAACAGGAGAGAAGATATCTCAGGAAGACAACCCAAACTGGCCAACATGGACCCTGCTTCATGCTGGAAGTAGTCAAGGTTGGGTGCCTTGGAGGTACAGAGTATTGTTAAGGAATGAACTATGCAGGAACCAACAAGAAGATATTTTTCAGGAATTCTGTGATTCTCTGAATAAGTCCTATGGGAAATGTGTCATTATAGTCAAAGAGAAAAGGCAGCCGACTTTGGTGAAGACAAAAGAACATACTAATCAAGAGAAAACAATATCTCAGGTCCCATCAGTGATTTACATATCCAGCACTGACTGCTGTCCTGAAATTGCTAAGGCAAATGGCCATGAGCTTCTCTTTGTGCCTTCACCCTACAACTACCTGCACCCTATGGATGCTGCATGGTCTTCTTTGAAATGGTTTATTATAAACAACAGGAAAGAGTTTTCTCTGAGGTCCATTGAAAGGACTTACACCTACAGGTGTATACTTTTCAGTGACTTGATTATGAAAGGAATAGAGAAGATGACTCCAAGCAAATGGAAGATAGCAACTAGCAAAGTGAGGCGATGGGAGAACTACTATCTTGACACATTTTCTTAAAGATTTCTTTCTGCAGACATCCTAAAATAAGTGTGCCAATAAAGTTACTAAATTAGATCATTATAATCTGAATGGCTCCATTATTCAAGTGGTGAATGTTGTATAAATTCTGGATAGATTGGTGGACAAGCTTAATCATGGAACTGAGCTCAAAAGATCCAAATAATTTGATTTTTAGAAGAGTTTGGATGCTGATCAGCAGTAAATTGTATTGCTTTCTCTTCACTTGTTGTAGTAAGCCAAAGTCAAGACCTCAGACCTAAACACATCTAAACTTAAGGGAAATGTGAGTTGGGCTCAGGCACATCCCTGATCCTTTTGGTAGGTTTGCTTACAAATTAAATACATGTCAAATGGAATATCCAAAACAGTTTTAAACAAGTCAGCAGAATTAAAGCTAAGGTGAGTGTAACATAACATAGGTATTGATAGGCCAATAAGCCATCCCCTCTAGTGTCCTGTTTCAGAGGAAGATATATGAAATGACATAGAGTCAGAGGCAGCAGTGGCACATGGGGTAGTGTCAATGGCTCCACTACTAGTGGCACAATGGTGGCTGGGCCAGCAACAGAGCTACTCCTATTTTTGTGCCCTCTCTGGAGCCAGTGCACAGGGCTGAAGGTTTAAACTACTTAGTATTGTATCAAAACCTAATTTAACTGGGTGTGTCTGTTTTCAGGTAAATGATCAATCCTGTCTGGAATCCTAGTAGGCTCTCAGACACTATCTTATAGCAGTGAGTTCCACAAGTTATTCATGAGTTGTGACAATAAGTATTTCCTCCTATCCAGTTTAAATGTGTGTAATATTATATACTTCTACTACATATCCCTTACACAGACAAGGACAAAAAGTCAACTCTTCAAGAAAACAGGTAGTTCACATGATGATTGCCATGTTTGTTTAAACACCTTGAAACAATGAACACGATTGCTATTATTTGCCATGAGTGGAAACTTTGGAATAGAATACAGAATTCAGACCTACCTAATGAGAGAATCTAATCCATCGTTTTGCAGAATAAGAGTAGAGTCACTCAGGTATCATTCCCTACTAGTATAGTTTCTAGCATTTTCATGAGAATACTTGCAGCTAATTATCTTTTCTCAGCTTTGTGCTTAAAAGTAAAAAAATTCTACTCTTGCTTAGGGGGAAAAGGGAAGGTGGCAGGGATTAGAAAATTAAAAGCTGCAAATATGCTGTGAAAGAATGCAAGAAAACATGAGAGAGAATGATCTGATTGGCTTGATTCTGATTTCATACTGAATCAGCAGTAACTCCACCAAAGTAATGCAGTTAAAAGTCAATGTGAGAGGAACTCAGACCGAGTACGTGAAGAACAAACACAATCCACAAACTGCCTAGTATTCAAAAAATCTGATTGGTTCACAGCACATTGTCACCACTTTGTTGAATCTTGTTTGACTTATATATGATTATACTAAACTACATGCCAGAATAAAACTATGGGAAGCAACAAACAGTGCTTCAGATTCTGATCTTCGGTCATACAGCAGATGTTTAAACTGGTATAACCAATGTTTACACCTGTGTAAACAAGGAGCACACTATTGGTGTAAACCTCTATACCAGTATATTTTACCATAATCCAAAGTAGAGGTACCTTTGGAGAAATGAGGAATAGAAGTACATAGTATAAGTTATACTGGTTTAGGTATTGTCTGTTGACTTCCATCCTGGCATATTTGCTCAATGCAAACAGTAGTTACCTACTTCCCCACCTGGAAGCAAGGCATTGCAGTAGTGCCTACAATGAGTAACTAACCTGCATCACTGCTATGGCTCCTGGTGTCATTTACACTGGTGACCAAAACCGATGGGAATTATACCAGTGTAAATGTATCACATATCCAGGCCTTTAGTTAAACCAATTTAAATCTAATAGCTTCACTGCTATACATCAGATTTACAGCAGTGGAAGTGAGACCAGAATCTGAACCAAACACATGAAAAAACAGGATCATCATACTTTCCTACCAATCTCAGATGTCTTTGACTTCCACAGCTATGTTTTCTTTAGTGCTAGATTGTAACACCTCTGCCCAAACAGAGGACTGTCCTACACCATGAGTAATCCTAATGATCAGGTCTATTTGCAGATTCAGCCATTGCTCAATGTGTGTATATGCTATCGGATAAAGATGACCTTCTGACATCACATGAAATTCCTCATTACAGTCTTCAATCTTAGCAGTAGTGTACATGCAATGGAAGCAATTTCTACCCTAATAACACACAAGCCTTTTAAAAGCTTGAAAGAGGCAAGAGCTTTTGCATCTTGAGTGGTTTTTTATATCAGAGAGGCTTCTGATGCAGTAAAAGCCATTGCAGAGCCAGAACTAAGAGATGAACTGGCTGGAGAAGACCCTCAACAGCAGGGAAAGGGATTGATTCCCTTCTTTGCATGGGGCTCTGGTTAAGGAAGCCCTGGCTCTATTCTGTTACAGCTTGTTGTTTGGAATTGTAGGCTGAAAGACAAGGATCACTTGGACCTGTGATAAGGCAGAGTCTGAATGGAAAAAGGACTGCTGTTACATGAAAAAGCCCTTGCTGGTAGTCGTCTCTGATTAAAATGAATCATTGCTATTTTCTATTCCTTTATTTTCTCATGTGACAAGGTATTTAGCAGGATTTGCAGATTCACTGGAATCTGACAGGGCTGCACCATGAGTGCTTCTGCTATGGTCTCAAAGTCTGGACCTCTGGGCTTTCAGCCACTCACTATAGGAGCTATTTTCTATTAATCCCTCTGAAGAGAGTGCTGCTGATTTCTCTTTTCTTTGTTTTTCCTCCCTTTCAGCTGTACAAAGTCAATTGCAACCCATTTTCTGAAGCACTTTGCAATCAATTTATACTGTGGCTAACGTAGTCCTGACTCAGCCATCAACTTAAGAGGACAAGCAGCTCTTATACTACAAGACTAAACATTTATAATAAGATGTTATCATCAAACAATGAGTATCTAATTCCTAGAAACCAGCATCTCCTAACATTTAGGAACTAATACGTACATAGTTTTTAAATTGCTGCAATTTCATTAGCAACAACTCTTGCAGTATAGACATACTTGACCATTGCCAATTGTCAAAAAAATAGATCTTTATTCCTGTTCCTCTCTTGTGTGATCAACATGCACAAGTGGAAGAGCATAATTAAAGTGACTTTGCATGAAAGGGAAAAGTAGATGCAAATTTTAATTTTGATGAAGGAGCTCTAGCAGGTGTCTGAAGTACTCTAGGCTAGCCAGAATGCAAATTGGCTGAATTTGCATAGCATCTCATTGGCTAATCACGTCCAAAGGGAAAACCCTTTTTGTTGCAAGAGTCAGCAAAAGCATTATTTTCCTCCAGTTCATGAAGCAGGGTTGTATTAAATGGATGTCTGACTTCTTACCGTAAATTATAGCCTTCTGTTTTAAAACCATATCCGAAATGCTTGACATTTTTGTATAAATGGTAGGGGATTAGGACAGAATTGGGAGAAGGAGAACATGTATCATCCTTACCTGCTATTTTGAAACCCAGTGTATATTTACATGCATTCTGTAAGGCAGGGGTGGCCTCCTGGTGACTCAAGTGGCAAAGGAAACCTTTGTGTGGGACATGGCAGATGGAAGAGGAGTCAGGCAGCACAGCAGCAGACAGCGCAAGGAGGAAAAGTAGAGCAGACAAGGGAAGGGGATTGGAGTAGGACTCAGGAAGGGTACAATGTTTAATTTGTGGCATGCCTGCCAAAAATGTTGGCTCCCACTGATCTCAGGTGTTAACTTCTAGATCTCCTGGGTCATCTGCCTGAAATTCAGTGCTTTTATTGGCAGAGCTTGTGAAGTTCTCCATTCAATGGGATGGCATTTCTCTTTGTCTGCTTGTCTCTAGGTAACGTGTTTGCTTTCATGCACCATTACTGCTGATTTCTAACATTTCAAGGACTGTTTTACACACTGCTGGGCTGAACTCTTGTTGATTTTGGTTAAATTTGAAACACCTGAAATGGGGAAATAGGACACACAGATATTCTGGCATATGGTAGCAGAGAAACTAGATCCAACCACTTCTGTCCTTGTTGCTGATGGGCACCATTAACCCATTCCAACTTCACAGCCCCTCTCATTCTAGCTCTGTCTATCCTCCCAATCCATCTTTACTTGCTGACAGCTGGAAAGAGAAGGAAAGAGAAACCAAGAATGGTTGAAGGAAGGTGAAGAATGTGGGGAAAAAAAACAATGAGCCTCTGCAGTAGGGAGGGCTGTGAGAAATGGGAAGAGAGGACTTGTGAGATACACAGCCCTGGCATGGAAGTAGAATGGGAGATGCCAGTGGGTGAAGGGAGTATGAGAGAAGAGGAGGGAGGGAGAGTAGACTAGGAATGGAAGTCCACACAGCCCTGGCATGGAGGGGGAAGAATGTGGGATTAGAGCTCTAAGAGGGAGAATATTGGGGGCGGACACTTGTATGGGATAGAAGAGGAAACAGGAGGGAAAGATGGGAAGTGGGGGATGGGAGGAGCACACAGAGTCCCTGGCATGTGACAGGAGAGGGAAGAGAGCAGGAGAGTAGAGGAAGAGAGCCCTTGTTGCAACAAGGGACAGAAGTGGGAGAGGGGAGTCCCTGGAGTGGAGGGTGAGTAGCAGTACACATGGTGGGGGGGAATAAAGGGAAGCAAAGTGGTCTTTGGGTGTGCAGTGCACTCAGCCTACAGAATAACAACCAAGTGCGTAAAGCGGTCTATAGTATTATGACCAATTTTAAGTACTAGGAACCTCTCCATGTACCATATGCCAATGTAAATAAATTGACATACACATCCACTCCTTTCCTCTCAGCCCTTTCCACTAGGACAGCAATGGATTTTTTGTAAGGGAGGAGCCCTTTAGCAGTCCCGATTTTCCTGTTCTGCCCCAAATAAGGCCCAACAGGCTTTGTTTGCAGCACTCTCTCTGAGTCCATTGATGCCATGTAGTGTGTGTTGGCCAGAGATGG